GGGATGGAAAGTCTCCCCCACCATCCGAACATTGTTGCAAGGTTGTGATGCTTGACCACGTTGCCAGACAATGTAAAACTTCTGGAGACTTGGAGAAGCTAGTGATATCCAGCTGTCCGAAGCTTAATCTGAATGGACTTACAAGGGGAAATCTCAGCCTGAAGCTTAAAGTGTTCATGATTTATGAATTGAAGAGCCAGAGGACTTACCCCAATTGATACTTTAGGGTCTGCTAACACTTTAGAGTACATCCGTATTGAAGAATGTCCCAAGCTCACAGAATTACCAGCATGGCTTGCAGGTCTCACAGCCCTTCAAAACTTGAGATTGTGAGTTGCTCGATTGTCATCTCTGCCAACAGGGATAGAAACTCGCTTCCCTTAGAGAATGGAAGATACCAAAATCTCCACCCCTGAGTAAAAAGCTGCAGACGGAAGCCGCTAAACATTCTTAATTTGGAGGTCATCTTGACCCTGAAGTTGCTTCATCATCGAGGGACAATAATGATCGATCAGGTACGTGCAGAAATCTCTCTTCTTATTCATTGTTATAATTGAGCTTGGAAAATTGTTTAAATGTGCTAGCTATAATGTATTGTTGGAATACCCTTCAATACTGGTTATTGCACTAAGGAGAAATTAATTTATTTCTATTTCTATTCATACTTCCATAACAGTAAAGTTCAAAATAAATTTTCATAGTTATAGGTTTTACCCCCATAGTTCATAAGTTTGACAATCCACAGATGAAACAAGCTGTATTGATGATAAATAATTCTTGTAGTTTTTTGATTAATGTTTCGTTGTTGTAGTTTCTGTGTACAATGTTCTATAGGCTTTTTTTTTTTTTTTTTTTTTTTTTTTGTTTATTATTTTCTAATTTCTGCTTTTACTTTTGTGTAACTTGTGTGTTCAACTGTCCTAGTTTTCCTGGAGGTTCTGTCAAGTCCAGCAAGTGCAAGAAGTTTCGATTCGATTGCTGCTAATGTGATGTTTTTTTATCTTTGTGTCTTGAATTGTTATTTGGGGGTGTATTTGTCAGTTTTTGAAATTTGCGTTGTTGTACTTTATTGAACTTGAAGGGAAAATCGAAATTCCCTATTTTTCTGCTTGATTGAGTGCATGTTTGTACCGAATAACGCTTTGGAAAGTTTCCCAGTCGACTGTTTGTTTGGTTATCTCTATTTCTATTATTCTGAATAATCTCAAAATTAAGTAAAGCGCAGTCTAGTAATTTGTCTATTTACTGATTTTCTCTTAGTTGAGTCAATATGCTCTCTCTGTTGAATTTCTCTCCTATATATAAAGAAAATAGTTTGATGTTCAAAAGCAATAAAAATAAATAAATAAAAATTGAAGTGAATGATTTAGTTCGTGCATATGCATGAAATCCCTTCCAAGATTCTATTGCTACAATTATAAATTCTTGGAGGTAATTAATAAATAGATTTTCTTTTTTCGGACTGAATCTTCGTAGCACAGAAATTTTATATTATTAGGAAACTATTGTACAAGCCCAATAATTCTTATAAAGAAAATAACACTTATGTGTGTAATACTTATAAATAATGGATGTTGAAAACTTGCCCTAAAAAGTTTTTGTTATGGGATTGAGAATTGATCTTCAGCGGTTAATATGGGTTTAGAATTTATCATATATTATTTTCATTGCCCAAAGGATTTTACATAAATTAATTTGACATAAAATGAATGGATATTATATAAGAATTTAGAATTTTTTTCAATAAATACTTAATAAATGTGGATGAATGATATGATAAATACATATAAGTTTGTAAAGAAAAAATTGTAAGTGTAGTTTGTTTATGTAAGACAATTATGTTGGTTAATGCAAGGTTTAGTTTACAAGTCTACCTTTAAAATTGAAACTGGTATTACTGCTATTATTGTTAGATGTCAAAAACACAATATATTTATAGTTGGCTAATCATGTGTTTAATTAAAGACCAACTTGCTCGTCATCTACCATTATTAATTTATTGGCACTATTATTATTATGTAAAGAAATCTTATATTTAAATTTAAACTTAGAGGTAAAATTATTGTAGTGACTAATTAGGGCTCTCAACTATGCTAATCAAATCAATCAGTGAGTAAATACAATCTTATCAAGCAATAAAATTAGAGATTAAGAAAAGCATGAAACTAAACAAAAAAAGAAATTGGCATAGGAGATTTATAGTGGTTCAGCTAAGGAAGCCTACATCCACTCTTCAAGGCACACTATAGGGTATTTCATTAATCAAGAGAACCAAATGTTACAAAGAGTAAACAACCAAAGAATAACAAGAAAGAACACACCCAATTAAGCACTCTCTCTACACCCTTTGTATTCGCACAAAATGGTCAGAAATTTATACACATCAAGACCCCATTGATCATCTTCCAGCTGTCCAGTATGATCTGCAGTTTGTTAGAGAAAAGGAGCACTAGAATCTTCTGTCGCTAGGGCTGAGAAGGAACCAGAGACAAAGAGGGGTGAGCTGTGAGTTTGTTGCAACAAAATGGGATGCGTGTGCCAGATAGAGCACTTATCTTTGATATCCAAACAACGCCGCATCAGCTTAGACTTAAATCCATTTCCTTTTACTGAAGTTGACTCCACCATGGCAGTCTCAAGCCACATCATCATCACAATTACTTTAAGATATTATAGTTGGCTAATCATGTGTTTAATTAAAGACCAACTTGCTCGTCACCTACCATTATTAATTTATTGGCACTACTATTATTACGTAAAGCAATATTATATTTAAATTTAAACTTAAATGTAAAATTACTTTAAGATATTATGGTTGGCTAATTTTGTGTTTAATTAGAGGTCAACTACTTCTTCACCCTCTGTCATTTATTGGCAAGACTTAACCTTGGTCTTTCTTTATTTTAGTATAGCCTTAATCAACTAATTGTATTCTTCACTGAGCCAACCCCCTCAATTACATCATTTGGATTAACAAAGATGACCAGATCTTACTTAATGGGTCAGGATATTGTTACTTGAATTTTTAACTCAATTTTTTGATACTCTTTGTGAACTAATGCAATGATCTTAAACTTCTCTTCTATTATCATTGGATTAACAAAGATAAATGGTTCATATTAAATGTCTAAAATTAAATCAAAAAATTTAAGTCATAATATCTCATTCCTTACTTATTTCAGCTTAGTTTATATTCAAAAATACTCATAAAGAGAAATAAAATTAAAATATTTTTTTTCGTAATTCTTGGTCAACTAGTGTCATAAGTGAACAATTGGTTTTGTATCGTGCTTTGATTTTATAATCTACTAGACTATTAACTTTACTAAGAAACACCAAGTCTTTTTCTTTTTAATAAAATAGTACTCCATCCTTTACTTTAATAATAAAAACGCGAATTTAATAAGAAAACACCGAGTCTTTTTTTATTAATTCTTCGTCTACAAGTGTCACATGTCAATACTTGATATTTTATAGTGCTCCGATCTTGTAATCTACTATAGTTTTTTAGACTTAATATATTAATACCCTATCCTTTACTTTGTTAAAGAAACACA